AAATTTACATTCCGAGAAATTTACATTCCGAGTTGCACTTGAAAGAATCTGTCCAAAGATGTAACTGAGTAACAAAACGAGTAACGAGCAACAAAAAGGAGTAAATGTCTTCTCAAATCAAGACTACATAGGAGGACATCGCAACAATGCTTCTCAGATACAGAGCGCTTTTTAAAACTACGAACTAAGTTCTGAACATTTGCAGCTCTATCCGAATGATACCGCGCGACCGCGATAATCGCGGAAATATTATAGAGATCACAGACAAAATCGATAAAAATCTAAATAAAATCTTGTATGACGTGACTTCTTTAACTAGCGACTAGAAAAAATTAATACTGATAAATCAGATTTGATTAAGATTCAAATTCATATTACCATGCCATCAGATGTAGATGTAGAAAGCTTCAGAGAGAGGAGTTAGTTGGAAAAACCCATAGTCCTCTATTTCTATAATTGGCTTAGATTCAAAACGCAAGAAATCTGTATTGATTTATACTGATCGATACAAAAGCAGTTTAAGTTGCATCACAATATTTCTATTCCATCAGATAATCATCGGGACAAGAGGCCTAAGATCGCTGGAGAGCCTGGAGTAATGTAAGGAGCTCGGGGGATCCAGACAATCAAAGATTCAATCAGAATAGTCTTTGTTCCAGGATAAGAAGCTAGATGTTGATAAGATTAGCGAGATTAGAAGGAACATATCTTTGAACTTCCGAAATACGCTGGTTTCAAGTTTTACTAACAACTGGAAAAGAAATAGCCATTTTACTGAACTAAGAATTGAAAACACTCCCCAGATGCAACATTGACCGAGTTGCTCAAATATTATCGAATAATGGTACATATAGAGGAGCTAGATCTGAATATCGAGGAGACTATCAAATTCTTTTATAGAAAAAATGCGGAAGGTAGGTCGTAAAGAGGTGCGAGAATAAGAACGTCAAGAACGATCACTTTATCGGTCTAGTCGGCGGTTTTTCTGTGGAAAAGCCTAAAGACTAATTTTAGGTTTTTCTGTGGAAAATCCTAAAGACTAATTTTAGGTTTTTTTGGTGGGATAAAGCAACTATAAAGCTACTTGACCAAAACACAGAGTGAACAAAATAGAAACCATTACACGTGAGATAAGTTGTTGAAGTGTCTCATGATAAAGTCTCATTATTTCGGTAGAGCAAAATAACTTGCATCACAGCAAAAACGGGTTCTAATTAGAAGCATGGCTGGAATATAAGTAATACACAAATCCTGAGGCTGCATAAAAATAGGGGGCTATATAAAAAGGGGAAAACAAGATAAACAGGGCATAAACCTGGTGTAGAATGCTGAATTGATAGAACATAAATGATACTTCAGGAACATAAAATTTCTTTCAATCAATTTGTACTCAAATCTTTAGTGTCCCTAATGTTTAAATGTGAAAGCAATATTCGAAATTTTTTATTAATTATATATTTATTATATTACAATTTAATTTGATTTACCTTTTTATTGATTTATTACCGCATAGAGCGCATAACTGTAAAATAAGATACTGAAGCCTTCACCAACTACGATAAATAATATCGTTAAACGTAAACATTTACATTATGTTATTTCAAATATATTCTAACTTATATTATATTTTTACCGTGGCGAAACACTCTAGTGATCCAATAAACAATCCACCGACTCTTAAAGTAAAATCCTTAGTGCCTCTTTGCAACAGAAAAAGTATAATTCTTTGTATGTGCAAAGGAACTACGTACCATTGAACATTGTATCTACAAAATTATGGAAACAAAAAATCGATTACTTAAAAAAAAGAATACATGAGTATTCCATATACCACTTCGTTTATTTATAGACAACATGCTTATGTTTATTTTCAAAATAAACATTCGTAAAGTTCTTGCACATATATATTGTAATATTTTATAAAAAATATTTCTTACACAGTAACAAATACTTGATTAGTATGATCCATAACATCTTGTCCGATGTAATTCGCAATAAACATATAAAAAATACTAATAAATATGAATAAAACAGGAAATATAAGTTCCCTGATGTTATCTATAGATGAATCCATTTGAAAAACCTTTGTTCATGATCATATGGAATTATTATATTGTATTAATGTTATAATTATATTTGTTATGATTATAGCTTTTAATATCTATGCATTTTTAATTGTAAATTATATTTTTAAATCAGAAAAGTTATTATTAACAAATATATTTTTTTATAAACACATACACACACACATAGAAATGCATGCATATATAACATATATAACATATATACATATGTATATATATATATATATATATATATATATATATATAACTAATTA